CGGAGCGGGGACCTGCCCGCGGAGGGTGCCCGGACGAGCGGGTCCCGGAGGAGCCGGGAGCCCGCGGCGCCCCAGGCAGGGCTGGGCTGGAAGGAAAGGCTTTCCTTGCCCTTGCCGCTGCTGGTCCCAGAGGCGTGCTGTAACTGGCGAGTGGCTCGGCGTGGCTTTGCTGTTAGGACAGAGGTGGTGTGTTTGCTGCGTTTCTGTCAGGAGTGCCTCTTCTTAATGGCCGATTCTAACAAATAGACAGCGTCCTGTTTTCTTTCTCGTGCTTTTTAACTCCGGTGGTAGAAGTCCAGATTCAGGAGTTGTTTGTCGACATACAAACTCGAATAAAATGAGAGATACAAAAGTCTGAGCTGCCGGAGTTGCCTTTTTAGAAGACTGAAATGCCCCGAACAATGCCCCCCAATTTTTCCAAGTTAAGAAGCCAAAAGATAGGCACCAAAATTAACCTGTCAAATAATGTTGAGGAATATCAGTCAATCCAGCAGTGTTAATATGCTGTTGTTTAATCTGGTGAAGCTATAACACAAATATGCCAAAAAAGTAAAATGAGGAACATAAACAGCTTTATAAATGCAAAAAAAGCAAGATTTTTTTGAAGAGGTTACCAGTAACCTGATTATTGCTTTGCTAAGATCTTAGGGCTTCAATTTTACAGTGATAGACTGTCATTTCATTTGATATAAGATTGGCTTGTTCTGGCTTTTATCATGCTGCCTTCTGAGTGCATATGCTGGTTTAACTCAGTGTACACAGTCAGTGCTGTCTCCTGGGTCAGGGATGATCTCATCTAACTTTTGCCAGTCAAATGTCCTTCCTCTATCTGCGAATCTGTTGTCTAGACTCCCATTTACAATATGTTGAGAGAAGTTCTGCCATTTTAAAGCGCAATTTAATGTATCTATTGAAGTGTCTTTTTTTTTTCTGCTCACTTACTCAGAAATTTCCAGAAGCTACTCCTGACGTTTGTGTTGGTTTCAGCAAAAGTTTGTGATTCACTAATGGACACTACCAGAGAACACGTGAAACCTGTCAGATACTGTGATTTGCAAAAGTGAAAGTGGCAATGGATTTGTCCTCCCTACAGTTAAGATTTTTGGGCAGGTTGTTTATTGCAATATAATGCTGTTCTTTTACCCTGCTGGAAAGTTTATTTCTGTGTGTCAGTCAAGTCAGTGGAAGAAACATCGCCAAAATCTTATGGGTTAGGAAAAATCTTTCTCACTCTTATGTAAAATCCAGCTGGCTTCCTGATATCTGAGTAAGTAAGGAGAATCCACATGCTGTGGCAGGAAGGTGTCCCCACCTCCTTCCTGCTCTGTTCAGTAAAGATAGCTAGCAACATCTTCCGAGAGTTTACCTGTATACAAAACTGCTCGCAGTACAGAAAGTGAGCAGCAGCCTCCAGACCTGAAAACAGGCATGTCATTTTGATTTTAGTGTACCTCCTTCTCATAGATTCTTGGGCAACAGCAGATGATGAGGGTTTTTTGGTCTCAAATTGACCAGGGTTGAAAATCAGTTACTTAAGTCTGTGTTGTTTCCTTAAGCGTCTGTGCAATCGTGTAACGCTTTCCTTTGCAAGGCTGAGGTATTTCACAATGTTAAGGCATGAGGACCTGTCCAAAAATTTGCTGAGATAATCCTGCCTGACCTCTCTGTTGGGATGATTTACCTTCTTGGTAGGTCAAGAATGACACTTCAAAAATAGGTACTAGAAGACCTTGTTGAGTCAAAGGAGAAAGAAATACAAAGTTTCCAGATAGCAGGGATTTGCACTTACGGTTTATCAAAGTTGCCTTGTAGATGTTACAACAGATTTGGGGTCAGGGGCTTGTTTTTGTTTTAATCTCCAGAATTTGAGTTTCATCCATTTCAGCTGAGAAGAATGAGTACCCTGATGGTGGAGATTATCTGTTCATGTTGCTGCTTTAACCATTCCAGCACCTCAGCTGTTACTCATTTGGATTGCTTAGAGGTTACTGTGCATTCTCAGTGCCACTGAACTTTTTAAACCAACAAAAGTGAAATGGCTTGGACGTAAAACTCTCCTACTTACCTGCTGTGCATCAAACCCGAAAAGTGAAAATGCCCAGATGGAACTTACATGACTTTTGAAGTGTCCCCAAAATGAATGTGTAAAATCATGCTTAGTACGAATGTCAGTTTATATACCTACATCTTTCTGCAGCATGAGGTTTTGTTAGACTAGACATAAAGTCTGTGAGTCCTTAGAAACATGTTTATCTTAAATGTGAATGTGGGAATGGGCAAATTGACATCTACAGAGAATAGTAATTCGGTACGTGCCTGAGCTGGAGAGTATGGATTTCTGATGTTAAAGGTTCATGGGTGTTACCCATGGTGTTGATTTTTGCAGGATCTGACAAAATCACATCCGTTAAAAATCTTGTCCTGTTAGTTTTCAACAAGTATTGGAGCCATCCCTATCACTTACCCTGCATCTACCTATGTGTTTAGCACAAGCACGGATCATCAGCTGCATCTGAATGCCACTTCTAGAAGCTGAATTTAAGCTATAAAGCTGAAAGAACGGGCCTGATTTTGCCCTTTTGAAAGTTTGCTTATCCAGGTTGTCTCCAACTCATGACTTCTTACGAACTAGAGCAACAAAACCACAAGAGGCCCTGGAAGCGCTCAGCGTACCAAGCTGTGCTGGAGCGTTTCACAGGAAGCACGCTTGCCTTCAGATACACCCTGACCAGCCACGAGTGGTTACGTTTTGAGCTGCATCTGCGCCTGACCTTAAACAGAGGAAAACAAAATTGTCTGACAAAAATGTTGATCCCTTTTCCCTGTCCCTTTCCAGTATGTGGTGCTTTGGTGCGTTTTCAGTTTGGTATTTCCTTGGTTCAGTTCTGTTTCATCATGAAAAATGAACATGGAGATCCTTCTTTTCCCCTGTCTCCCCCCTCCCCAGATCATGGTGGAACAAGCATCAGCACAGAGTTTTTCAACTCAAGATTTGTAGGCCCAGTATTGCAACTAATCCTGTGGCCCAAGGAGCTTTACCTCTGCTTGTGTGCAGGACCTGCCATGCTGCAGCTGGCTGCTGGCTTTCTCCCCACTTCCTTCCTGTACTCATGCCTGCACATGTACACCTGGGCCAGTGCAGACTTCTAACCCTTGCACTTCTGCTCCTGGAGAAGGCCAGAAAGTCTTGCTGTTTCGTTTTGGGCTTGTTGCACTATGCAGTCTGTGGTCTTGAATTAGAGTCTCCTGTTGTTGTTAGAACCATCACTGTGTAAAAGTGTGTGCTGCTTTTCCCTTTGCCTTAACCCAGGAATCCTTCCTGCCTTCCTTGTTGGGGTCTCCTGCTGTCGCTTCAGTGACACACACAGCTTCAAATCCAAAACCACAGTCTGACGATAGAGAACAGTTTGGCAATAGTGTCATTTTTAAGATTTTCTCACCTGTCCCATTCACTGCCATGTGTTCTGATGTGGCCTATGCTTATGTAGTACCCCATATCAAGATGTACTTCTATTCTGGAGCAACTGCTTCTGATCCAAATTAAGAAACTTATCATTGTTTGGGCTTTTTTTTGAGGAGGGAAAAAAAAAAAAGTTGTATCTTTTAAGCTGGTTAAGTGACTTGTATTTCAAAGTGTGCAGTCCAAGCTGATCTGAGCTAGGACTAACACAGTTGTGTCGTCCCTTCCATCTCTGGTTTCTGCCCCTCTCTCATCTAATCCTACAGAGAGCCCATACTGCTGTTTGAGGCAGCAAAAAAACATTGTGCGTTGTTGGGGAGGCAGTTAATGTCAGTTTTCTGTTGGCTTAATTTCCTCAATCAGATCATTGTTAAATGCGGGGGGACTAGCTCTGATGTAGACCACTTTACACGGGATTGAGTCCTTCCTGGGAAAGCGTAGTTTAGCTGTGTCCCATTCTTCTGGTTTTATTTGTTCTCCTTAAGTTCCCTAACTAAACAGGCTAACATGTCTTTCAGTGCTGCCCTCAATCTTGGTATTGTAAAGGGTAAGATAAAATGAGTGGTTTGCCATTTATATTTGCAAACCTTACCATTCTGAGATCTTCACTAAAGTTTTGTAACTACTAAGAAAATGCCCTATCTCTGTGACAGTTCAGGTTATTTGTTTGCCTTTAGCACAATATTGTTATAAGTGATCAAAACTAAGCTCTGCTTGGCAAAGGCAGAATCCACAACTGATCCTCTTACATGTGAATGCCAGACTTTCATTGTGTGGTTTATCTTTAAACGTAACCAGTTGTTTGTAGACCGGGCCTGAAGACAGAGTAATCAGGCCTCAATTAGTCTTTAGAGTATGATGATATTTCACCTGAGGTGTGATCCTTCTCTATCCCACTTCCCATCTGCCAAACGTGCAGTGGGTGCATTAACTTTCTGTTAGTCCCCAAACTAAGCAATGCAACTTTGTAGTGGAGCTTATTGTCTTACCATGCTGTCCAGGTGCCCATCTCCTTGCAAAGACCTTACAGACTTTATACGAGAAGATTTATGCGAGAAGTTGTTTTCATTCTGCTGTAGGTGATACAGGTCGTATGTTATTACTGAAGGAAGGTGCCTGATTTTCTATCTCTTACTTCTTTCAGTCTCCTTTCATCTCAAGGAAGAAGAGAACTTGGGATGGTGATGATGGGGAAGATAAAACTGAGGATGGGAAGGAGTTCCAGTTCATTTGATGGTTGGGTAGTGCACATGTTGTCATTTTTAATGTACGAAGAGCAGGCTGTTGTGGTACCATGCTTTTGTATCATCATTATACCTAACTCCTGTCCATGGTAGTTTAGTCATTTATATGCCCAAAGCAAATGACAGATGCTGTACTAACTTTTTTTTTTTTTCATTTCTTAGTAGTAAAGCACCTAAAACTATATTATTCTTGGTTTTTATGTAGGAAATGCAGAGATTAACAACTCCAGCAGTACTACACCCTTTACTGTGACTCCATACCGTAAGTTGCAATGTAATACTCTTCGCATTTCTGTTTCTGTTCCTCAGTAGCATTGAGAAAAGCAATATGTATATCTTAAACTGTCCTGTAATAGTTTGCCCTTTATTTTATTTTACTGAATTGTGAACAGCTGTAGGGCAGGAAGGAGGTACTCCTAATTGTCGCATCTGTTCCAGGATAACTAAAGGTATATAAGAGGAACAGTAGTACACAACACAATCCTCATATCCTTATGTATCCCAGAGCAACAGAGAGGGGAGAGAAGTAAAATGGGAAAAATTTGTGTATGGTACTAGAAGTACCTGCCAACATTAATTTATAGTTAAAAGGAGAACCACCAGCTCAAGAAGTCTGCTAGGCTAGAATTCAGTGCTCTTGAGAAAAGGCAAGGCACTTTTTCATTTAATTTTTTTTTAATGCCAGAATGGATTCTAGGTCCATTGTGCTTGAGTTCATTGATAAAGTACACGTTTATTTCATGGTGTAATCTCATTTTGACTCTGTTAAGCTGTACACCTTTAAGCACATGCCATGCAAATGGCATATTCCTTGAGTCATTTTTGCCCTGTACTACTTTGCTCATCTCATTTGCTGTTAGCCAGGTGGGATGTATAGCCAATACTCTGTTCATTGACTCACTCTATCTTGTGTTGATTGTATCACTGACTCACACCCAAATTCCAGGCAGTGTACGTGCCTGTTTTTCACCCGTATGAGCATGCAGTCTACATCCAGGCACGTTCCCAGGGTTGCAGAAGTAAGCACTCAGAACTTGGGGGAAACCCAAAGCTGTGTTCTGGTTACAATATTGGGCCAGCGTGGGAAAGGTTTAGCCCCAGGCATATCCGTGGCTTACACTGGTATAAAAGTCAACATAACCAAGAAAGAATGTGTTTGTAGTAGTATAATCACAGACTGTTTCTCAAAAGCAATTAAATCTGCAACTTAATATCCCAGGTATGTCAGTATAAGGGTTGTGTGTACAGTATGCAGTGATGGTGCTAGCTGAGCTGGCTGACACTGGACTTTTGCAGTGGTAAGAACAGCCAATCCATTCAAAGGAAACAGACCTGCTTCTTGATTCTGGTAGCTGTGTTGCTGTTCTCGTCATCTCTGAGGTTATGCGTTTTGTTTTCCAGCCGTGCTGAAAAGCAGTAGAGCTGCTGCAAGGCGCATAGCAATAGCAATGTGGGAGGATGCTGTAAAAGATCTGTTACTTCAGAGAAAAGAATAGTCGCAGAATGGGTGTAGACAACAGTGTAGAGTGAAGGGAGGGAAGTATAGGCAGGGATGCTTCCAGGAACGGGAGCTACCAAACAGCCCAGTAGATCTTTGCCAGAAGGAAGAGACCGTTAACCTGTAAGAAACATGGAAGAGGGATGCAGCAATGAGGACAGTAGTGAGAGCAGGAGAGTGCCTGAGAACCTAGAAGTTACATGAGTAGGAAGAGGCACAAAAAGAGAACTGGAAGAGTAGAATTGAAAGAAAGGAGGGAAGGACAAAACCATTAAGACTTAAACATGGTTTATATTTTAAGTCTTTGGAAACATACATTCTTAGGACCATTTTTGTGTAGAGAGAGCTTAAGCCCACAGAAAGATGTTTCACAGGGTGTTGGTCTGTTCCTACTTGACACCACTACAGCATGTTCCTCGCATGATCCCAGTTTGTAACAGAGATGCAGCAAAAAAGATTGAGGGACAGGAGAAGGCACTGAAATAGAGGAAAAAAACTAGTAAAAAAAAATATCCCACAGTGCTTAAGTAGGTCAAGAGAGTCAGCATGACACAGAAGTTGAAGAGAGCAAAAAGAGGAGATGTAGAGATTTCACACACAGACTATTTGGACACTAATGTGTCACTGAGATCTGAAAGCATTTTACAGAAGGATAAAACCATCTGCTTTGCAATGGAATATTCGCTGCACTATTCTTACTTGTAGCCTGGAAACGCAGATACCCTGAGGAGAGTATTGTGTTGTGGGTACTTTAATTATAGTATGTTAAAATGGAAATTAATAATATTTCTTTTCTTGTTCTGTTTTTTCCTTGAAGACAATAGCAGTTTGTCCAATCTCACATCATCCACGCAATCTACAGCAACATCTGCAGTAGGTATGTATCTGTTCTTCTGTTCATTACTATGAACCCAGAAACTAGCTCCAAAGCTACCCCAGATCATATCAAATTCTAAAGAAATATCAGTCAAAAGTGGGTATTTGAGAGAGGCATTATCATTTTAGGGCTGAGAGGTAACGTGTAAAACAACTCTGACATGTAGCTATACTGTTTCTCAAGTTTAGGTAGCATTCTTCTTCGGTAGAAGCAATGACATCTGTGGTGCCATTGAAAAACAGGAACTAAAATGAAACTGCAAGGAAGAACTGAAAGAAGTTGATCTTTTTAATGCTCATTCTTTGCTTCTAAGCAAACATCTTCCATTTTTCATGGAGTAAAGATGAGTGGGTTGTTGTGCAAACAGTACATACCTGTTTAATGTTGTTTCACTTTGGGTATACAGCTTTGGGTATAACAAAGTCCTGGGGCCTTGAGTTTCATGAGTAAGACTCCATTTCCTTTTAGGTAAGACTCATGGTACCTTATACCATGGAAAATAGTCCTTATAGAGCTCATAGCACAAAACAGTGGAGTTCAAGTGGGACACGAGTGGCAAATCTGGGACAATCTGTCATGGGTACTTTTGCATTGTTCTAGCACTACCATCTTCCCTTCACAACTTGTCAGAAGAACTGTTAAGAATGATTTCCCAAGGGAGCAGTGTTGCAGTCATGATGCTCCAACATAATGAATGTGTTTACAAAACACATCTTTATAGAAAGAAGAAATAGCTGTATCAGATCAATTAGTAAAGTTTGAAAGCGGATATTTAACCTGGGAGACAAAGAGTTCATCCACTTATAATTGCAGTGTTCCAACTGCTGGCTGTGTTAATGTGAGATTATTAAAAAGGAAATTAAAAAAAATTATATTCTTTGGGTCCCCTTTGTGCTAAACCATGTGAAAGCAGGGCAGAAATACTGTGCCTACCCTAAGATACTTTGTGTATATGTGGAGTTTTATGCTGATCATAAGGTCCCAGTTATGTAATTCCATTTCCAGTACAACTCTCACTTTATGTCTCTCTAGTCTTCAGATAACCTCTGAGCTACCACACTCTGAAGTTGCTTGTTAGTCATTTAAGAATAAAATACTCACTAGGAAAAAAAATATCTCTGCAAAGACCTTCCTTTTGACAGCAAGGAAGTGGTGCAGTGTCTCATTCCATTGCGGGCAGGGTACCTGTTTAAGCATGTCTAATTGGGAAAGGGGAGAGATTTTTGTAATCCACTTGTTGCCTTAGGGCCTTCCCCTGTATAAAGCCATTGTTAAGCACAGGTGTTTAACCTGCCCTGTGCTTCAACCCTGACTATGGGCTTATGGCAGAGGTCTCAGCTTTACTGGTTGGATAGTAATAGTAAAAAGAGGCCTGAGCCCTTTGCTGTTAGGCATAGTACAAATTTAAAAGACAGCTGTGCCTTGCTTCACATGCTTTATGATTCACATCCTTCTCTTTTGCTTCTTTTTTTTTTTTTTTTTTTTTTTTTTTGTTAGAAACTTCATAGATTTTAAGACAGTGTTCATCCATTTTGATTATCTGTCTTGACCTCTTCAGAACAAAGACTGCTGAGTATATGTACTTAATTTTGCTTAAAGTCTCTGCCTTTTTTTTCTTTTTTTTGGAAGCTTTTCATGTCAGAAGCAGAAGTCTGTTTCATTCAATCATTTTTCATACTCAAGGAGAGTATTTTAGGAAGCACATTCAATAATTATTATTTTTGTGTTAGCACAGTGCTTGTGCAGTTTGAGTTACTGTGTTTACTATTGAGTTAGAACACTAAGGGAGTGGTGCATGCTGCTAAGAATTCTTGTCTTTACACTATATAGAGAGTTTGATTGATGGATATAGCATAGCTATTTAATGTTTAAACACAGGTAACATACAAAGTAAAATACCTCTTTTAAAGATAAAGCATCATAAACCTGAAGTATGTTACTGGCATGCATTCTTTTGAAATAATAAAAATTAACTCAAGACAGTATAGGTTTGTTTAATGTGATGCTCAATGAAGCCTAGCTGGTCTTTTGGGGGAAAAGCAATTAGGGAAATAAAAGATAAAAGGACAGATACTGCTAGCAAATGTTGTTTAATCTTAACTCCATTGGCAAAATAGTATGGGTAGGATTTTTCAAAGACACAGAAGAAGAGATTGGTGCCCAATTCATTACAGGTTCCCAAATTCTCAGATAGCCTCCCACTGATGTTTTGAAATGACTGATGCTAAATACATCATGAAAGATAAGTCTGTAGGGGATTAACCAGATTTTACTCCTAATGTTACATTACCAAGTTCTGCAATCTTGATAAAGTAAGAAAAAATGATTACTAGCAGGGAAGAGAGGGGGGAAAAATTTAATGTGCAAATTTGTTGTCATTCTTCATGATAGCTCCTTGGATATTTTTTGTGTTGGCTCAGATTTTTTAACGCCTATGGAATAAGTACCATCTTTGAGTAACATCATTTAATAATGTTACACATGGAACAATTAGCCATTATATTTCTCAGAAACACAAGCCAGTTTGACACTCAGAAATCATAACTCAGAAAAAAAAAAAGAAAAACCCAAAAAAACAGAGAAAACCGACTGGTTGACGCGTGCATTCAGATTTGCTTTTTGGTATCTTTTGTATTAGGAATGCAGTTACCAGGTGTGGTTTCGTATCATGTAACTGTAGATGGTTTCCATGTAGACATTTCCTTGCTTATTTCCTACAATGAGGAACCATTTGATATTTATAGATCATTGTGCCTTTGGGGAGTTTACCTGTCAGTATTAAAATGTACCCTGAATTTTATCTGATGTATTTCACACATGCTTCATAGAGGAACTGACTTTCCTAATTGTAACAAGGTAAGCACATGAATATAGTACTCCAACTGTTCCATCTCAATGAATGCTCATTTCAAAGTGTTTCCTAGGGTTATGGCACAATACACTTAGAACATCAAAGAAGAGGAAAATAAATAACATTTACTATGGGGACTGTGCTGGGCTGTTTCAGTAGTTTTAATGTTAAATGTCTCGGAAAAGTGTTGTGTAGGCCAGTTCCTTTCTGAATGCTTACATTGTCGTATTGTTTGGCTTTCTTAAGTTTTTGATGTTCACATCTGTACTGGAAGCAGCAATACTTAAGTCTGCTTAAAGATGCTGTTCTCTGTGTAGCTAATGACATTTTAAACCACACTTACAGGAAGATTGTTCTATAGAAGCATTTTAGATCCTGTATAAAAAAAAGCAGAAATTCAGTATCAAGTTTTCTGTGGAAGTGAGATGAAACTACCTGTTCTTCAGTTGTTTTAGTTTTAGAGAATTTCAAGAAAACATGGGTATAATTACACATTTGAATGTTCATAATGAAAAGCATTTGTGGTGTTTAAAATGAACCCAGCTTGTGTGAGGTTATAGAAATAATACAGAAATAAACAGCTGCAAAGGGATCTTTTTCTCCTTAAAATTCCTTCATACATAAAAGCTATTTGCCTTATATTGTCTGCTTAGAGAAATGTTAGTTGCATAACAGGCTCATGTCTCTTTATAGTTCCTTCTTAGAAAAATAAGTAATTATTCTTAAGATCATTCCAGCTTCTGCCTTTTACCAAGGTTCTAAGGATTTTGCTATAAATGTCAATCTATTCTTGAATTTTGCTTCATGATATTTTTATTCCTAACAGTTCATTACTGCTTTCTGACGAGGGAAGGGAAAGCATTAGGTAAAAGCAGAGTAAAAGTTAAAGGTGTTAGGTGTCAATTAAACTTGCAAAACAGCATTGTAGTCTTTGTTTTAACCTTGGCAAGACAGCTCACCACTAAATAAATGATACAAGCTAGCAGATTTACTGTGGTCAAACTTTTACCATGTGTGGAGAACCTTTTGTACCTTAAGTTTAACATACATACAGAATTCTCTCTGGTATGCACCCTTAGTAAAGCCAGTGTTTCATTCAAAAGCAAACTAAAGATTAAATTATTACTAAAATTGGCGGGGGGGAGGAGGGTGTTTTCATGAAAAATCCATTCTTACCAGAAAAGTTACTTATCTGAAAAGTTGAGTACTTCAAATGGAAAGGTACTCTTGATCCAGAATTTTATCACATTTTAAAATACTGTAAATTAGGTGTGATTCTATCCTATGGAATTGGATAGCGTTACCCAAAAAACATTGACCTTTCTAAAAGTTATCAGATATTATCCAGATTTTCTTTACAGCCTTTCCTTTAAACCATTCCTGACCTTGAGCTTCAGTAATCAGGAATTGGGTCTCTCCAGACGACATGCATAGGGGAAGAGTCTGTATGCAAGCTTGGGTATACATGCAGTGGCACTTTGATTGTTACTCTGTCATTCTGTTTGGGCACAATAAACTGTATACTCACTGATTAAGATAGCATTTATTATTTTTATGTATTTTTCTGCGTGATATCACAAACAAAAATTTCCCAGGTACTTCCACCAGTACTACTCATCTGACCACTACCAGTCAGCCCACCAGTGCCACTATGTCTGTCACCTTGATGACTCAGACGACCAAAACCAGCCAGACAACAAGATCCACCACAGCTCCATCGGTCACATCATCACAACTCAATATTACAGTGATGACCGCTTCCAAGATTTCTTTCACTTCTGTAACAGGTGAGTTCACATTTCAAAAAGTTCATGAAGGCTTGTATACATGTTGAGGTGTGTCGTAAAATTAACCATTCTACAATTGTACAGTAGTATAACAAAGAAGGTATTTGCATGCTGAAAAACAAGAGTGAGGTGGAGTTTTATTAGTAAGTTGGCTACAATAGTGTTGCTCTGAGCACTGCACTTTCCTAAATAAGGCTTCACTTAACCTGAGAGACATGACATATTTAGGGGAAAAAAAAATAAAATGCAAGTGGTCTGAACCAGGAGGCACCCAGCAAGGACATGAGCAATGTTAGGAGAAAGGCTGGCTTTTAAATACAACTTGGTATTTGTTCAGCTCTCCCTTCTACAGCTTACTCGAACTCATCTCTAATATTTCCTTTTTCACAGCTGATCTGTGGCTCAAAATATCCTACTGGCTTGGTAAAAAGACTGAGTTCTGTCAGTGACATCTGTAGCAATGTAATGAATTTTATCCCTAATGGAGGATAGAGTGTGGCTATGAATGAGTCATACTTTATGTAGAAGTTGTCAAATACAGCTTGACAGTAGCCTTTAATACAAAACCAGTAAGTGTAGAATTCAGTATTTCCTTGCAGTTAGCTGCTTGCTTGCACCACTTCATGCTTACAGATTGGGGCTGCTCACATACCAGTGAAGCGTTATCGGTAGGTGAAGCTGTCATCAGCAAAACTTCTAGCTGGCCACGTAAGACTCCCTGTGGCAAGTACAAATGAAGGTGGGCACAGACAGGGTCTTTTGGTGGGAGTTTGTAGTAGACAAAACTAGTTTTCATGTGGAAACTGCTACAGCTTATCTGAGGTCATGTTATGTATGTCAATATTTGTGTTGGGCTGCAGAGCTGATCTCACCTGGAGAGTGAGGGTACAGTTCCGTGAGACAAGGTAAAGCAGTCCAACAGCTCATTGCCACCAAAAGCATTTTACTCCAACCACGTTGGAGTAACTATGCTGACTTGGTGGTTGTTGGACCCCTCTGCAGGCTTACTCAATACGCTCATCTGACTAAAAGCAACTTCCTTTTCTGCTTGAGTTCATTTCAGGCCAGCTTAGTGAATTAAATTGGCTTATGGACAGTATGAAAAACACTAGAATTGGCCTGAGAAGGGCAGGAGCTGCATGTGTGGAAGGAGGAGAGAGCAGGTTGAAAAAAGGCAGGGGAAAGAGGGAGGTGGAGAGGAGAAGGAGCAGTCAGTGAGACAGCAAGCAGTTGGATCAGCTGCTCCTGCATCACCAGAATCTGGCGCTTAAAAACAGAGCTCTGTGTTTTGAGTGTGCTTAGCTGGTATCTTGCCAGCTGATCTATATATCAATTTTGTCTAATTGGGTCTTTATGTGTCAGTGGGGAGAACAGAATATTGAGGAGTCCCTCAAAACACAATTTTGCAGGCTCAGTAAAAAGTGCCTTTTGTTTTCTTCTTTTCAGCTGCATCAACAACTGAGGCTGTCATAGCCAAAACCTCCAGATTTGATGTGGGCAGTTTTGTAGGTGGCATTGTGCTGACACTTGGAGTCCTTGTCATTCTCTACATCGGATGCAAAACCTATCATGCTAGAAGAGGCATTCAGTACAGAACCATGTAAGGTCCCAAGGGATTGTCCCTTGTCAGTTTACTACTTTCTTGAGGGGAACAAAGGCAAACAAAACAAGGAGATTAAACTCTGATACATACATTTGTTTAATGTACATTATATTAATAAGAGATTTAACTGTGATATTCTTTCACCACTTCAGCTATTCTTCATTATTATTATGCCTCTCTTCTGTGTGGGTTTATTCTCTGGTCTGTTATATAAAAGCATCTTGTTTTTTTAGCTCTTCCATGAATAGCTAACATTTCCTTGATTACATTTCCTTTAAATGTTTGCTGCAATTTGCAAGACTTCTGGCTCTTCCTGACACATTCTCCTAGACTCTATTTGTCTAATAGAGTGAATCACTCTGACATATTTTTGACCCTTGCCATTAATTTTTTTGTAGTAGCTCTGTTTTCTGTTACCTATATGATGTTTTGTTGGAACTCTGTTACCATCTCTCTTTTGTATCACCTTTTATGTACCTCCAAGTCTAGTTTGAGCAGTCAGTTTTAAAGTCAGACATCTTATATTCCACATTCTTAAGCCACCACTGTTGAACTGATCAATTTATTTATTGTCACAGAAAACATTCAAAGGCAATATGGCCATTATTCACACTTTTGAAAGCACAGTATTTGATTATTGTCAATATGTGAACTCAGACTTTTGCCCCTGCTTGCAAGATAGGCAGGCCAACTGGTTGATTTCTAATATTTAGTTTTTGTGTTATCTTGTTCTTAACTTCAGAAAACTGTCCATAAAATTGTATGCCCTGAACCTGCTTTAAGTACTTTTCACAAGTCCGTGAAATGAGAAGTGGAATTCATTTAGCTGAATAGAGGCATTGGCATCTGAACTACTCATTTCATATCATTCATATTACCCTGGTAGTGGGGTAAATCTGTCAATCAGCCTATCCATGCATTTTTGTGTTCACTTACGATGAGGGCAGCTAAGAGTCTTAGATAAAGAACTCTGTGCTATGGATATTGAAAGGTATAGGCTGGATCCCACTAAAGTCACTTGTTTATGTACACCAGTGATTTTCAACCTTCTTTGAGCTGCACGCTGCTGCTGTTTTCCCTGCAGAGCGTAGGTGCTGTTCAGAAAACAGAAGCTTATTGAGAGTAAGGTTGTTTTTCTGTTATCTTTTCAAGACCCTTTAGAAGTTGTCTGTGGGCTTCAGTCTGTAGACAAGTTGAAAAACACTGATTTAAACAGATTCTCTGCCACCAACTTCAAGGCAACTTCTTCCTTCCACTGACATCAGTGTTCAAAGAGGCATCCTCGTCCCCCTCAACCCCCTCCCAGGTTCCCCTTCTTAAATACTTATTGCAGAGGTGCAGCCACCATCACTAACTGGCTTGGCCCTGGTGCAGAGGCAGGTCTGGCTTGGAGCTGGGGGAGCCTTCAAGAAGATTCTCACAGGTGCCACCGCTGTAGACCCCTCCCCTGTTCCCAAAACCCTGCCACAAAAACCCAGCACAGGATTCTTAAAACCAGGTTGCTTTTCTTCTTCCTATTCAGTTTCATCCATCTCAGTTAAGAAGTTCGTTTTAAGTGAGGTGATGTCATTAGACTTGTTGGGATGCTAGTGTTTAGGCCTTGTGTTTTCTCTCCATCTTGATTCCTGCTTGCTGGTTATGAAATTCAACCAGTGCCTGCTGCCCATGTTTACCCAATGGTATTGTAGAATTCAGAATTCAGATCAACAGTATTTTTAAAATGAAGGAAACCTGTCACTGAGCTTGTAAACTGACTTTGATTAGTTTGTTACTATTGAATATAGTTAAGATAGGCTAAAAATGCCAGAGTAACAGCTAATCTAAAAATATCTACTTGTGTGAAACACGAAAGCCAAAACGTTAATAAGGCTAATGAAGCTGGAGGACTGTTGGCAAAATGAAATTGTTCCGTTAACTTCAAGTTTGGCTCGGAGAGGACTGTAACTCCCAGATGAATGTGCGCTTAGCCCTTCCAGCAACGTGGCCTCTGTTCACAAAATAACCTTCTTAGCAGCAGCTGGATGGCTGATTCTTTGTTGACTGTTGCTTGTACTGCAGAACATTAATTACTGTGTTTCTGTTACAGTGATGAACACGATGCCATCATTTAAAGAGACTTCAGGGAAGACAGTGGTGGAAACCCATCCTATCACAGCTGTTGTAACTTCTGAAAGAGTTCCCTTCATAAAAATGATCACAGTCTCTAAACCTGTCCTGGGTGTGATCCTGCAAAATGTTGAGAAGCTCTTTAAACATGCTGATATTTTTTACATTGGCTTTCATAAGAAGAGGAACTCTGCACTTTGTAGAGACAGTATTTTCTTTTTCCAGTATTTGTAACCAAATTTAAAGAAACACACATATTAAGTCATTTTAAAGTACACACACAAGTCTCTAAAACAGCTAATTACTAGCACGGTGGATCTCATCATTGCAATTGTGAGTTCAATTAATTCTCACATATTGTGTAAATCCAGTGTGTTCCATAATGGATATAGTAGGTTAAGTAGGATACCTTTGAGACCAAGCATAGGCTTTTGCAAGTAAAATGTTTTTTTTCCTAATATTTTGTATTAAACTGTATTTATTTTGAAGTTTGATGTGAACTTTAGTTTAGAAATTTTGAACAATTCAGTTAATTTTTATTAGGCTATAAAGCGACATGGTTTGCTAACTGTATAGAGGGTGATAATGAGTACTTTAAACTTCAGTCACTTGCGGAGACTTTCCTTAACAGGCTACAGAGTGAGACTACCAGCCGGAAGCACGGACAGACTGGAGATAGCCATCCACAACCCTTTTCTCTGAATGGGTCCTTGTAAGAAAACAGGCTGTGCAATCCATAGCTGCTTTTTTCTAGCATGTCCTAATGAAGCATGTGCAATTACAGATAAAATAAAAATGGGGAAAAGTATCCTTATAAATATGATATGAGAATTGCTTCTAAAAATTGGCTTTTAAGTTGAATGTAGCAATCACTTCAATCTTGGTTTTATTACTATGAAGATGTATGCAGTGTTTTCTCAGCGTTTGATAAGCATTGCAAGTTACACAAAGAATCTCTGTAAGATAGTGTTTTAGAAAAATATAATCCGCATTTTTACAACTATTTTTAGAGCTTGGTACTGCTGCACACGTGTACAGAGGTCTGGTCAAAGCCCACTGAAGGCAACAGGGCATCTTTCAGAAGGCCTTTCAATTAAGGCCCAAATACACTGGAGATCCTGTGCAGGGTGGCTGATGCTGCTTCTATATCACACTGTGGTGAACCTGCTGACTTCAGTAGATGGGCTCCTGATTTACACTGGTGTAAGGAAGACTAGAGCAAGGATCAAGAAACACAGGCCTGCATCTGCTTATGTCACTGAATAATTGTTCAGTCCTGCTCAGGCTCCACTTGTAGATTTCTCCCTGGTGAAGACAGTTGATACGGTGGGACTTGACCTATCCTGAGTTGCTGTATGAATGCTTTTTTACCTTTTTCACACATGTCCAAGGCACAGCTGACTCCAGCAAACCATGGCTAATGAGTAGTCAATAGCACCAGCCATGCACCTGAAATGGGAGTAGCAGGACTTTTTCATTTTTTACTGAGATTGAGATACAGGGGAAAGAGTGATTTGAAGTAACTTTTGTGAGGTAAGAGTTTGGAAACAATTCTGCCATAGAACTGTACCTCATTAGTTTGTAGAAATTAAGACAAGTGCAACTCAGTTACTGGGCTTGTCTCATTTCTGTTGTACAGATGAATAAATAAAATGAAATCTTTGGAGCTACTGTATCAATTTCAGTGGGATTTTTATTTTATTAGATGGTTTCATAATTCCATCAACCCTTTCCACAGTCATAACTACTGAATAAGAAGTGTTCACTATATATACTTCTACATGCTAAATACCAGACCTACTGCATTTCTGCCCAGCTCAATAATTTGTAATGTATTTTTTATCTCTTTACTACAATAAAGCAAAATTACATGACTAAGATTTCAGAGGTGTCAGTAAAAATAAAAAACTTAACCTCCTTTCAGGTGTTTGTCTAGTATCCAAAGTGAGGTGCAATTGATAAATCTTACCTTTAACTTTACATTAAATTACACATGTGTAAAGTGGGATGAACAGGACAACTTTTCTATCATACCACAACTAAGTACACATTCAGGCCTCAGTCCTGGAGGTTGCTCTACAGCATTGGAAAGAGCAGTGGACCTGAATTTAGCTGTGCTCTACATGTGTAGAGGGGTTGACTAATTATTAAATAACTGAAAAAGTAATTTGGCATTCAAAATTCTTGATTATGTTAACTGAAGATTGGCATTAGTTTCTGTAAGGAAAGAGTATTTTAGATCAGTATGATGTATAAAGCTGAAGTAGGAGTGAAAGACAGAAAAAGGACTTTTGTCTCATGGACTTAAGTCTGCTACTATCCCATGCAATGGTAATAGAGTATAGAATAGTTGGAAGGGCCCTACAATGATCAGCTAGTCGAACTGCCTGACCAACTGAGGGCTGACCAAGTTAAAGCATGTTTTAAGGGCATTGTCCGAATGCATCTTAAACACTGACAAGCCCCAGGCACCAACCATGTCTCCAGGAAGCCTGTTGCAGTGTTTGACCACCCTCTTGGCAAAGAAATGCTTCCTAAATATAATCCCTTTCTCATGGAAGCCTCTTCCCACTCACTTCTCTGGTGATTAGTTATTCTAAATTGAAGTTTATGATCTGTTTATATTAATTATATGCAACAAAACAGCATTAATAGCTCCTCCCCTTCTCTAGGTATGCTTATGCTACAGTCAGTCCTTCAGCTGTTCCTTAACTGAGTTTATTAATATTGTAAAGATGATTCGACTGTTTATAGTTCATCCTCTGAACAGAACTGCCTATTTTCTTACTAGTACTGATGGCTGACCAATGCAGTTCATAGTTCTGTCTTGATTAGGAACCCCTCTAGTGACACATCACAGAACTGCATTTACAGTATCGTTTGAAGGCCATCACCAGCATTCACTTGATTGTTAGAGCTCTTTCACACAACCCCTGTACTTATTTTTAATCCTTAAAATTCACGGGTTTGTGCTTCATATTAAAATTTATTTCACTTAATACTACAGGCTTGGGCAGTCATCCAGTGTAGCCCTCTTAGGTCAGACATGAATGTTACTTTTGCCCTTCCAACATACCAAGATCAACCCTATGAGCACATGTGGGGACTGCAGCATTCCGCCTTCCTCCCACAGGTCTTTCCTTTTTATTCAACTCTCCTTTAGCCCATTTTCTAATACCAAATCATAGCCTTTCCAGCTTACTTGTTTTGATGGCGCCCTGCATCAAAGGCAGTCCAGAAATTCTGCAGTGCTGTATTTGGTTTTTTATTAAAAAGTCTATTAAAGCAAGATCATGTTACTATGGTAATAGTCAGTAACTTGAATATTATCCCTTTGTAAATCTACTTTCATACCTTTCCTTTTTGTTCAGAGACTGTTAAAGCTCTTGCATACTCATGCCACTCTGGTTTTGCCCTGAAGACATAAATAGCATTCTTAACATGCTTTACTGAAAAAGATATAAGCAACAAAATGACAATATGGCCAAAAGCAAAGTGGAAAGACTGAAAATTGCCTGGATAAGAGGTTAAGAATTTAGCTGTTATATGGAACTGGACAGAATGAGACTGGACCCTGTGCAGATTGTAAACATGTTCTCTAGACAACACTGAAGGAGTCCTGATTGGTGTACGACAGATAGCAATCTTAAAAAACAGGAAAGTTAAAAGAATTTAAGAATCTGCATTTGACATTTCTCACAAACAGCACAGACACGGGGACTGCCAATTCCTGGTTCTGATCCTGCAGTGTCTAAGCTTTAGCTTGCATTAGAATTTAATGTTTGCTTCATTATAAGAACATTACTTTGAGGATTGGATCAATGATTAATTTTACCATTCAGTGTCAGGTCACCCCTATACTTCAAAACATCCAATTCAGGAACTCTGAAAATTGAAAGAATAAAAGGGACTCCCCAGTTCTGAAGGCTCTTATGTGTTCTTTTAGAATGCCAAGAGGAAATAGATTCTCACTCTGACACTCAAAATTTTGAGTTTATCTATTGTTTGTTCTGATCTTCTCCACATCAAATTTAAAGCAGTTTGGAAACCAAGGTATTGCACCTGGCCAGCACTGAGGTGTAGGGTGATTCTAAAATGTTAGACAAAAGACTATATGTAACTCAGTTTCCTGGACAGGATCTGTGAAGCAGCGAGTTCTGTACAAATAGGGTGCTTTCTTATTTTTACTGTTGCTTATATGACTTGGTCTTTTCTAAAAACTTTATTCATCCCTTAGACTTGAAGCTATCTTCCAGTGGGCAAATCTCAACCCCAACTCCTATCCTTTACTTCATAAGTACCGGGTATTTCATGTCTTCAACTGCCAAAAGAACTGAGCATCATTAAGTTAAGCTATACAGATCTAACACACGAGCTTAGAAACCTTTGGCAAGTTCTCCAGCTTTTCCATAAAAAAATTTCACCAGCCAAAACTAAATGTGAAGGCTACTGCTAGGACATTGCTTACTGTGCAAACAATTTCCTGCTATGTTCCAGCATATTTTGATCTCTTCAAAGAGAAAAAAAATAACTCACCTTTCTTTTTTGAAAGCAGCACAGCAGGATCTGCTGTTCAGCCGTCAGTGAGGAAGCTGTGTTGGAGCATCAGTAACTCATTTGCTCAATTAAAAACAGAAACAAAGGACTGGTGATTTAGTATTGTCTCAGGAAGTTTACTCCCTGCACTAGTAACCTCCAGAGCAAGAGTGACAAATTGCAGATTAAGTAGTTCAACAGAACAGAGCATACCTCTTTGTGTCCAGAATACATCTCCTGCCTGGATTCACATACCTGAGGTGGGCTTAACAGCAAAGAAAACTGCAAGTTCAGTCCATCTGCAACATCAACCATGATACTGCATACCCCAGCCTCACTACACTACCATTGCCACAACGCAGAATTAAAGGCAGATGAATACACTGTCTGCAATTTCAGGTGCTTCTCTTTTTCTGATGTTTTGTGAGGAATCCAAGTTCTGAAAGCATGGTGCTGAGGAGTTACTATACAACCACTAACTTGGTCACAAAAAAGCAGCAATATAAATATTTTTCTTTAATATGCTAATGGAGTTCCTAGATATTTCGTATGTGGTCACTCATTTCAGCATATAAGAGCAGTGCTCTGTTATAATGACTGGTCGGACCACTTGTGGATACTAGGACTGCATGCTGTCTTCAGTTGGAAGAGTGCTGGGCTTTCTGGTCAATGCTCAAAAGCAAACAGAACAGGAAGGTACACATTCAGTTAAAAAAGAACACACACACACACACACACACAAAAAAAAAAACCCAACATGCAGGAAACTGCTAAAGAATTACAATAACACTTCATGGCACTTGCTTCACAAAACATAAAGCTGCTACTTGGAAAACTACTGTATCTTGCAGTATTTCAAACCAGTATCAGCAACTGCAACTGCTCTAGGCTAGGTCCTTTGTAGATAAGCTAAGCTTCGTTCAAATAAAGAAATTGCTCATTTATAGAAGCTGTGAATTTTGCCTTCTATCATCTTCCTTTCAAGTCTCACCACTGAGCTCCAATGATACTGAAGTTCCCACCCTCTACACCCCCTAAGCCACACCAACACACTGCCAGCTCAAGACCAGCTATAGACCTGGAACACTGACTTCCAAGAACTCGACCTGCTTCATCAGCAGAGCTGCACAGGAAGCTGGGGGGCGAGTTTAATGCAGTCACAGCTCTGGAAAATGCTTTCAAAAAGGAAGTGGACACAGAACAAAGTGTGAACATGGTCAGTTTCTTCACAAGGAACAGACATCACTTGATCCTCTCCAAACCCTATGCAGACAGACTTCACGGTTTAACATTTTGCTAGGTTTCTGTTGGCAGTGTGCTACAGACAACTAGTTTCATTATAGCTTTCTTGGAATAGTACTGAGGGGAGTGTAACTGCTCACATGTACAGCACACATGATCACGGCAACAACAGTCACTATAGTGGGGAGCAGTGGAAAGCCATAACCTAGATCAGTCTTCCTGCCAAAACTAGGTCAAAGAATTTTACCCAGCAGTTTCTAGATCAAGTTCTTCCATTTCTCAGAAAGCCATTCAGGGGCTTAGATGCAGGCAGCCAATGCTGTTCGAAGTTGCCCAGGACATTCAAAACACTCAGGAACCAGAGCCGACAGGTATGTTGCAAGTCCTGAGGTACCCTCAGGCATCACAAATGACACCGAACACCCAAAACACTCAGTTTTTAAAGCCCTGTATACCCTGTTATCTGAACTACACAAAGTAACTGCAGTATTTGAAAAACTAACCCCATATGGTTCTAAAGGAAAATGCATTGCTTAAAACGTCTGCCTGCTGCTGTATTTTTCCCTGTCCTCTTCCCGGCTTAGAAACAAGGCTTACATATTAACAATTCCACATTCTTCAGGTGAGCCTGACCTCTCCAGCTCCCCCTGCAGACTCATCTGTAGAAAGTATACTTGGCTCTAATATTTGTCATTTCTGGGTCTGAACATCAAATTTCAAGTCATGCACTTTATTTCTTAACAAGCTTTCATGATCTTTTTAAGTTGCTACACAAAAGAGCATTTAGAAACATTTCAAAACCAGAAAAGCAGAAGTATGTGAAGCTGTTTAAAACAACACACTATGTTTGAAACATTTTAATTTTCATGTTAAAAAATAGGAAAGGAAGATCTATATATAACAAAGTTAGACAAAAGTCTGTATTTAAAAGAATTACAGCAAGTCAGTCTACAGATGAAGAATCCTAGTAGTGCAAGGAATGTGTACCAAAGCATTAAAACAATGATGGTGCCAGCTAACGCACAGCATTAAATGCTGCTGAAGAAATTATGAAGAATGGATTAAGAAAAAACGCTGAAACATCACTGTTTAAAGACAAACCAGTCCAGATTCTTACACCTCTCCCCTAACCACCCAGACAGCAAAGCAAGCCTTCAAGATTAGTAACTCCAGCATTATTTTGAAAGGGACTCCAGCCCACGAGGTACCGCTTAGAAATACAGGGCAAAGACAAACCGACGGTAAGTAGAATGTATTTGTATCTTCCTTTGCACAATTGTCCTTGCTAAATTTAGTAATCAGTACTACTGATGGAAACATCATGAATCTGCTAACAAATCAGTCTCAATCACATAATTAACAAGTAAAAGTACTTGGTTTAGCCCTTTTTAGCTAGCCAAAACTTTGAATCAATGCTGTGACTACAATTATGCTAGAAATATACTGTTAACTCCACGCACAGTCTAAATTCCAAACTCAGTGCACAGATTTCCCAAATTTGCAGGTGATTATAGATGGAGACCCAGAGGTTTCTTTCAGACTTGGAGTGGGACTTTTGACTAACTTACAACTCTGATGTACAACAGGAAAGATACATACAAATGCTAAACATAAGCATGTTAATTACCAATGGAAATTTATTTGCTAGTGGCAAACATCTCCCCCACTTAATACAAGCCTTGCTCTAAACACTAGGCAACCATTACCCAGGGTAAGTCACTGAGTCATAGGTTACACAGCTCACACAAGCTTTTTTTAATGTATACACTTTACTACTTTCATACATATGGGGTGCTCTCTCCAGCAGAGATAACACATGTATAGCTAACGCCACATATGAAGTGATGGAAGCCAGTTACATGCACACAACTTGCAAAACTGGAATCCTGAAAATTCAATAAATGGTATTTTCACCTCACACTACAGAGCATAAGACACCAAAGTCCTGTTAAAAATATCTTATTGCTGGCAGGTCTGAACATTAAGAGGTCCACACTTAGGCATTAAGACATGGCTGAAAATGACTGACTTAGAGCCAAACTGACACCACCACTGCAGGATCTGATGCTCTTATGGTGGCAGTATTCTTCCACTGTTTGACATGAAATCCTTGTGAAATACTTATCACTTTCCCTCTGTGGGTATCTACAAGGCAAGTCTGGGGATGGAAAGCTGAAAAGGCTAAGAGTCAACAAATAAGGAAACAGGACTCCCTAAACTACCAGCTTACAAAACAAGACCCAAGACTTCAGAAGGGGCTCGAAGATCCTACTATTTAATAGCACAATCACTATAAAGTTCCAAACACAGAGAAGTAGCTTTTACATTTTAATCCCTAGCATAAAGGCTATATTACTGTACAGCTACCCTCTGTGTCATCTCTAAGGTCATGAGGACCACTCCCAGCCAGGATTTCTATCCTTTGAAAAATCAGACAAAAGGAAGTACCAGATGCTGTTAGGGTTTTTATTTGGGGGGGGGGGGGTGTTTTTCAAAAAAGGATTAAAATCTGAACCCCCTACATTACCAGAGGCAATCACCAAACTGTATAGAAGCTCACTTTCCTGTTCAAAAATGAAACAGACACAGAATTAACTTTTATGGTACTACTGCAGGCAAACCCCCCCAAATTTTGGTCAGGAGAAGACAGCCTTCTAGCCACTGCAGTCTACAGAGAAAAGCCAACAAAAGGAACAGAGTAAACAAGCACTCATTTGAGAAGCAGAAGTATTTTAATTCAGTCTTTGTATAAACTATTAATAATACATATTACACAAGTCATGAACAAGACATGAACAGAACTTAAAAAAATGTCCTGCTGTTCCTGCAACAGTCAGCCTCTTTCCTCCTCAAGTCCATAAGAAAGGCAAAACATAACCAAAACAGTAGCTGAAGTTAACAGCAACCTTCATGTATTTCCTCACAGCCACACGGGGGAAACTCATGACAAGAGTTATGCCAAGTTCTATTTTAGGAACTCAACCACAAAGGGTTTTTTATTCAAAATGGCATTCTAGTGAAACTGCTTTCCTTACTCAGAGAGGAAAGCTGCAGAAATCTCACCTTAGTATTGAGTTAGTTTTATTAACAGAAATAGGCTTTGGCAAGGAAGACATAGCATATTCATAATGATGATACAGTTTACTATTACATAATGGTGTTAGGGAGTTGATTAATCATCTTCTATATCACAGTTTTCCATTCTTAAGACAGTGTGGCTTAAGCTTCAGCAACTGGAGGATGACAGGAGCAAAGACATTTTGCAAGCTCCCCTCTTTATGAAAGAAATGTACGAACTGTACCCTTTATTGTCCCCCTGCAAATAGGGCATTTTCTAAGGGACGGTGCACATTCTTTGCACACCACTAAGTGACCACATGGAATAAAAACAATAGAAACTTCTTTGTCCATGCAAACTTTACATGTTCTTTCCTCTTGCAGTCTTCTTAATTGTTCTTCCATAGGTAAACCTGGAAAAAATTATTTCCTTTTTTAAGAAGCCTGAATATATATGTGCATTTTAATTAGAATAGAGCCATGTTACATTTCACCCTTTATGTCCCTACCTGTATTCACTAAATCTAGATGGCAGTGAGAAAATAAGTACATTTTCCAGAGATCAGAAAGTGGTATGCAAAGAACTAGTTTGTACTTTCCACTTCTGTGAGACAACAAACAGCTTGGGAATTGGTGGCCGACTGTAGTTCTTCAAACCAATCAATGTTTACATTTTAGCAAATGCTGTACTTTACTTGCTTGGGTATTAGAAGCATAGAGCACAGCCTGGCTGGTGGAAGTGAGCTATATTCAGGCTTGTATACTTCTCTGCAGTCTATCAACATATTAAACTACAGGCCTAAGAATCAGAGAAAACTCAATCTCATGTCTGACAAACTTTTATCTAGCCAGCTGTTGGTCAAGCTAGATCTTAGGACACCTATAACCCACTCTGGAAAAGCAGAGATCACGATACCTGCAGTGAAATGCTAATCTACTATTCACAGTCCAGTCTTTACTAAACGCCTGAACGACAGCTTGTACCGGGATCAAATCCAGCACATGCTTGAATTGTTGAGCTCCAGAAAGCTCGGCCTCCTACAGTGCAAAAGCACATGTAATGCACAGATACAGCTTGTAGCAGATAGACGTGAGACTTGCTTGCAAGTCTGTGCATGCACTTCACTTTTTCAGGTAAATGCATCTTACCAAAACAGAATTACAGAGTGCAAACCATAGAATCTATTTCTTAACCAAGGTCATTTTCTTTTTTATGATGTTAACTATTTGTCTCACAGTACCCTTTAAAGTAAGAAGGTAGAGTTTAAGGTACCTGAAACATCTTCAGTGGGAACATACTTCATGTTCTTCTCCACTAAAATAAGAAGAAAAAAAGATCCTAATCATTTGACTAATCTATATTCAAAGCATCTGATTTTTTTTTATTTTTTTTTTTTTTATTTTTTTTTTTTTTAATATTTAGGTTGCTATGACAGCACTGGTTGCTTCTATAGACTTAACGTACTTAAAAAAAATACAAACCAACAAAAACCAGACATACCAAATAAATCTTTGTACAGTACAGGGTCACAGTCTCGTAGACAGTTTCTGAATATGCTGGCTGCTTCATTTCCTTTCACTAAAACTGTATCTATCAGTTCCCTTGCTTGCAATGGTGTCTGAGTCTTTTGCTTAATAACATCATGCTCAAGTTCTGTTATCACTTTGGCTGACAGTAAACTCCCGAGGATTGGAAGTACACATGTCAAACGCTGGAATAAAGCCATTCGATTCTTCCGGATTAAGGACAAATCATCTGGAATGCAAAGGGGATCAGATGTTTGTTAGGAATACACCATTCCAAGTTGCATTTCTGCTTAACAAGAATGAATATATTCTTTAAACTTTACTTGAAACGTTCACTTACTACACATCATTTATAGATACCTCAGTGAATTTTTGTGATATTCACATAAAGAACAGACTTAAGAAAACCACACACAAGCAACTTCCGAGCTGAAGACTTTTCACTAATGGAATCTCCCGCTCCCATCTCCAGGTTAAGCTATCTGAGGGGATCTTGTCTAACTTCACACTAGTAAAAGTTAATGTTCTCTGCAGAATCACAAAGAAAAAACAGCACCTCTGCATAACACCAGCACTAACTCACCGACTACCAACAGGTTAACTCTAATCAGCAGCAGTCAAAATCATGGCTGAGATGTAGACAGAATCAAGCTTTTCTAAGAGGTGTTCAACAAAATTATGTGCAAGAAAACCCAGTCAGACCCAGGAGATGATTTTTTTAAAGATAGTCTATCAAACAACAACATAATAATAATTTCCATTAAGATTTAATGGCTGAATCTGTCTATACTTTTTTGATAGAACATGCAAGTAGGAAAGAAGCAGTCTTAATTTATAATTGAGAAGTTTCATTACTGCTTCACTGACTCAAAAAGAGTAGGGGTTTTTAGGCTTCAAAACTTACACACTATTAAAACAAGGAATGGTAAAGACACATCAAATAAACACTGTTAAATAGCTGACCTACATGGTGTAGTCAGACATAGATAAACAGACCTTTGTGCACCTTACAGAATCTGTTTGTAAACGTTCATGGCCTCTTCTAGGAGGTGGATATGATGGCTCACTGATTCACATAGCTTAAAAAGAGTAGGCAAATTTGGAAAAAAATTACTAGAGGGCGCCAAGGAAAGTGTTTTGATTCCATTTATTTTAATAACAGCAATATAAAGGCACACAAATTTTAAAAAGTATGGCTTTGTTCCTGTGCAGAGAATCATGTGATTCCAAACCCTTGGCACCTGTATGAACCATCCTCCTGAAAAGGAATGAGAATTTCCAAACTGCTAGTTCCATACAGATATCCTGACAATGCTTTTACAGAAGTTGATCCTAATAGCAATTAAACTAAATCACTTAGTGAATAAAAACAATATGCAATACAAACCACTTCTGCTTTCACCTTTACTCGAGCCTTATGCATACCTGATGCCACTTCTTCAAATTGTCTCTCTTTCTCTTCTTCCCTCTTCTCATCTTCAGCAGTCAGCAGATCAGACACAAGATCATTAACAGTCTTGTAGTTTTCTCCAGTGGCCAAGATTTTACTTTGCACTGTTTGCTTTATGAGCCTTCTACTGAATCCCATCTCCAAGGCAGCTTTAACCACAGGCGTGTTCATCATGATTGCATCTTCTGAAGGACATTCTCCAGGTTCAAAATGAATAACTGATCAAAGAGGAAGATCACCATGTATAATATAAAGAATAAGATACCTATACAACCCAGAAGTCAGACACATCAACATTGCCTACATACATGGTTATATACATGAATATCTAGCATTAAAAAGTTTCAATGCTTAAACGAACTCTTCTTAAGTAGTTAAAAATGGAAGCCAGTTACTGAGATGTAATTGGATCGAATCTGTGATAAACGTCATCCCGTGTAAGGCCTACACTGAAGTCTAGGATAATCCAGAGAAACCACAGAGAATTCCATTGTGTCTCAGCAGCTTTTTTATACTTGGTCATTTAGAAGTTCAGCCTTGAAAAATATCTTGGGGGGCAGGAAAGAAATGAAAATTTCAAGTTTATAGTACAAACAATTGCTCTGTTCCAGCTCTTGATCAGAATTTTCCACTCAACTTACTAAGCACCAGACATGTGGGACTCTGACTCATTGTCCTCAGCCAGGAGGGGTTATGATAGTATAACCCACTCGCCCTCTGGGAAGGGCTTATTTCCACCATAACCAGAGTCCAGCACAGAAAGACTTCACTTTATCAGCTTGTCCTACCTTATCCTTGACCACCACTGGTCAATTCAAAGCATTTACCTAGCTATGTGCCTAAAAATGGAGTTGCATAACTGCACAGTCATGACTCCCTCCAGCAACTGTTCCACCAAGTTCAATACCATGGGTCAGTTTAACAAATATCGAATTGTCATGTTCTGTTTAACCAAACCACTGAAATTAAAAACCACAAATACAGCAGATGCCAAGCATTTAAACATAAAAAATCTTAATGTGATCTGCTAGTATAAAAATAAGGAAAATGAAAGATAAAAGTCCCTTAAAGGTTCTTCCTTTAAGTTCTGTCCATATACCATTGTCTATACACCACTGAAGCTACCTAACTTTTATCATCAGTCAGAAAATCCTTGCAAAACTGTTTCCAAGAAAATCTAAGAATTGTTAAGCAAGTTAGCTCTGGATAGCCAATTATTAAGTTTGCAAAACGATAAGGAAATTTAAAAACATGCTTTAATATACGTACTTGGGGGATCAATGTTTTCATCTACAGGCGTATCAGAGGTCGACAAGAGCTGTGGAACACAACAGAACTGCGTTAGTACCAAAGTACTGCTTTTTCCCCCTACACACCCTCCTAACACATCTCTCATTAACTTGATAAGCTCTTTATCTGAATGGTACCTGTTAAGTACTTGGTTACACAAGTCTGCAAATCTTTGCAGCTATATAATCAATATAAAGTTAGTGCTGACCACTTCCGTGAAGGGAAGTTCGGCTTACCCTTGCCAGAAGAGTTATGGATAGAAATAATTCAGGCTGTCCTAGTACTACTGACCTGCATTATTTACTGAAACTAACATCATCAGAATTTCCCTCTCCTGACACCGAAGAGCTCACTGCCTCGTTAACACTTTCCATAAGTACACTGTACAGGTTAAACTCTACCTATCCATGCCCATTAGCCATGGTTCAGCACTGGTTTCATCTTTGTGCTCATGAAGAGCATTTATTGTGTTAGAAACCAATTAGAAATATATGCAGAAATAAGGCAGAAGGATGGACCAAACTCCCCCAAAAACCACAGCACTCTTCAACAAGGGAAAACCAAAATTACAGAACAGTAAAATTTACCTGTTCAAGAAGATGGGGGAACCTGGCCTGAATTTGACTTACAAACTCTCCTCCTTTTACACGAAGCAGATACTCACACCTGAAATTTGACAAAAGTGTATTGAATTATACTTTATACTTGTCAAAGGAAAAAAAAAAACAGAATAATTAAAGCGTTTACAGTAACATAGTATAACTTAAATACACGTTTCTTTTCCTTCAGAAGGGAAAGAGTTCTCTTGGAAGCCAGGTGACACTTGGATAAAGCTTTTCCATGATGTTCAGCAGTCAGTAGGCTTGTGTGTGTGTGTGTGTGTGTATGTATATAGATATATATATAGATAGATATAGATATAGATATATATATATATATATGCAGCAGCTTTACATTCTGCTACCACTTCTAATGGTGTGTCATGAGAAATGATACCATGTCAGTGTCACTACAAGGTGCAGTGATAAACTGTTTCTATCTCATATCTCACCATTCTTCTCTCCTACTCAAATCACTCAAAAGAAGTTAACAAAATGTAACATCCCTATCAAAGCCAGATCTGCTTCACTAATGCAGAGCTGTATCTCTTAAGTACATTTACTGACAGGCATAACACTGAAGGAAAGAAAGGTGTCATCTAACTCTCCATACATCATGTGGTCCAACAGTAGCTGGTAAATTGCCCATGAAAGGCTAGTTGGAGATCTAAGATGTGAAGAATTATTATTAGCCTTCCTGACACTAAATGCAGCTATTTCTATCACTAATGTATGTAGAGATATCAATTAGGTATGCAATTGCCACTTAATTATGGCAGACATTAAAAAGTTGTTTCTGTCATTTTTTCAATAGTGACATATTAAACAGCCACTGAAACCTTTTTCACAAGCCTTTCCACACCTAAGAAACTAAACCACGTGAGCTGAAAAACTGGTTCAAGAGCATTCATCATGGGCACAGAACTAGACCAAGGGAGCTGGATGTTCCTTCCAATTCATTTCTCTACTTGCACTCTCCTTAGTCTGCTTTCTGACTGTTTCCCTTTTAGCTAAGTATGCTCATTAACAATGCAGCCTCACTTGCTAATAGTGATTTGGGGATGCTTTTAGTTATGAAGTGGAAAGCATCACATACCATGCTTAATGAATAAATGTTTTATTTAAGGCCACCTTAGCACTTCAGAGCTTTTAAATAGAGGTACATGAAATACATCCAAATGAAAGAATGAGTTTGCACATCATAAGGTCAAGTTAAACAAAACTATTAAGTGCAGTATATATCTGACAAAAAATATTTCAGGATGTGAACAAATTATGGTTAAAAACTTTGCCAGTTACCTTGGAAACCACTTTGCATGCTCAATCCATGGATCATCTCCAGATTCCCAGCACCTTAACCCGCCATCACAGCAAAAACATTTGACATCATCATTGCGGCCTTTAAAAAAAACAAGGCAAAATATCTAGCAACATTCACACAATTCAAAGTAAGCGCTGACATAGCAATACAAATAAAATAGGACACATCATTTTTTCTTACCTACGTAGTAAAAGCCAGCATCTGCAAGCTGTTCAGGCTGAACCGGAATTCTAGTTGGCCAGTTTATGAATGTTTTAACACGTGCCTCATGAGTTTGCATGCTCACATTTGACACATTGAAACTTGGCAGGTCTCGGGTAACGTTCTCCACAAAAGGGCAGTTAGGAAAGTGTCTCCGATGCTCTGACATAGCATTATCTTTTGGTTCCCAGTTACTCAGCTGACCACCACAGGTGAAACACGCAACTTTGTCAGCTGTCCCCAAGTAATAAAGTCCAGCCTTAGCCAGATCAGTGGGTGAGAGAAACGTCAGCGGCCATGAGTGAAAAGTGCGTAGTCTAGCATCTTCTGTACTCATAGATGGATTGTGAAGTTTAGGTCTCAAAAATGAAAGGTCTTCAACTGCTCTAGTAGTTATCGGGTCTTGTGGAAAACTGGAAAAAGAGCCACTGAAATATCCAACTTGTTCTAAACTTGGAGAAAGTGTTATGGAATGTAGAGATGGTGAGAGACTATTTGCAACCAGAGGTGAAAAGGCAGAACGAGAACACAGTCCGAGGTTGTTAGCTGAAAGCATGCTTTGAACAAAACTGCAGCTAGGATACTGCTGTTTATGTTTTTCCATAGCATTATCTCCTGGTTGCCAGTTGTCCAGTGTTAAGCCACAATTGAAGCACTTAACTTTATCTTGCACACCTGTGTAATAAAACCCAGCCCGAGCAAGACTCCGTTCTGACACTGGTACATTCATGGGGAAAGTAGAAAAGGTCGACATTCTGTAGAGTTCACAAGATAAGTCATACTTCAGTTCACCACACAAAGCACTCTGCTTCATGATGCTAGCCAAGAAAGGGCTATTTTCCATTATGTTCATAATGGATTACTTTTGGAAGAATGGGACAAGTCTTCCTCTGGGAGGTAGTTGTGTGCATTAAAGGCAATTTGGAATAACCCCTGCCTGTACAAAGGTAGGAACCTGAAAATACTTCAATGTGCAATTTTGAATGCGTATGGGAATAGAATTAGCTTCACAATTAACAGCCTTAAAACACTAGGGAAGCTCTTATACTTCAGTTTACACAACTGCTTTCAGTGCAAAAGCTGTCCCACCCCATTCTGACAATTAAAGCAAGCACGTCAAAAAGGACCCTCCCTTGAATCATATCAGCGTCATGTGCTTTCCTTGTACTGTGTTATCTGGGAGAGCATTATCAATCTGTCAGGCTAGTGGAGGTGGGATACAGGCAGGGGCAGGGGGAACAACCTCAAATGGGGTTATCAAAACCCTTTGTCAATAAAGAAACTAAAATGGGGGGCAACTAAAATAACATAATTTTTAACCAGAACATATGTTAAGTGATTTAAGAACTATTTCATCCTAGACAGCTGATAAATATGCATGTAAAGATTTTCGGGTTTAAACCTCATAGGGAGGCTGAAAATAACGGTTTATCAAGCTGAAAAGGCATACAAAAAGGGAGCCCCTGAACTCATCTCGTATATTTGCTACTACTAAGCTTCTAAAAAACCCCTCAACTTCTGCATATTGTTGTAGTACTTGTTAAGACCAAAGAAGTTAGTTTATACTCAACTTCACATATATTGAATATTCAGCTATGAGATAAAACAAATCCTATACGCTGTCCCTGACAAGGATGAACTGTCTTAAACTGGAATAGCCCCAGACTTTTCTGTCTATAACATTGTCAGCACAGACTGAACAGAGCATATCAGTTTTAACCTGGTGCCTTAGTTACAAGTATAGAGTTATCACATTTAACATAAATTAATTGGCTTGTGTCGGGACATTCTAATGCTTTATACTGTTGAATTAAGTTTTTTCTGTATGCCATGTTTATGGCATACAGAAACAAACAGAATCCTCAGATTAAAAAAAAAAATTTGAACCCTTAGTTTCTTTATTTGTGCACAGAACTACCTCCCAGAGTTCAGACTGAAGTCCCTTCTAAGGTGCCTACGCCTCCATATTGATATTGATTGTTCACAAGATGAAACTGGAAGTATCTATAGTTTCAATCATTTAATTCTTTTGGGCAGAACAAAACCTGTAAGGAAGAAAGAGAGGAGTGTTTCAGAATATACAAAATGAGGCGCATGTAATGTCTGTACAAACAGAAACACTGAAATCTCAATGTAAGCTTTTCTGTAATATTAGCTAGAAAGTTGCAGGGAGTCAAGTTCATATACTGACATATGAAGTGTATTTTACACACTTAATTTCCCTGTTACTGACACATTTGCAAAACTTTAATCCACAAGCATAACTTTTTGGGCAGATGGATGAAATCAGGCTGCTTGATCACAAGCTGTATAACTAAGGGTAAGATCTTGTACTAAAGAAGTTGTATCCATTTAAACTGGTTTAAGCCTGTGAATTTTCAAACAATGAAGAACCAGTTTTATTACAGTGACTTAAATAAGGAGTACTGGAACCTCTTCTTTAGGTAAATCTGACGATAGCTGAAGCACAGCACAACAGCAAAACTGAACTTGACCAAAAAATTCAGGTAAGAGACAAAGTTCAGAAGTTTTTTAGCATATCATTTTATATTTAGTCATGTATACACATGCAGAAGTCTGGTTTATAGTATCAGTTCCTAAAAAGTTCTTCCAGGAAAGAGACAAAACCAGAACCTCTTGTCATGATGACACAGCCCTAGAAAAATCACCTACTGGAAAACAGCAAAGCATTTCCTACTCATCTCAAGAGCTCTTAGATTTGTTCTTAATATGGTCACACTATTTACTAGCTTCTTAATCACTGAGGAAATGAGTTACAAATGCCTTCCGTCAAACCCCTTCTTTAACACAGACTGTAGGACCAAGGTATCAACATACATGAACGACACCAGTCCAAGAGGTTAAGCCAGTTTCTGTACTGAAGAAAGTCAGATAACTCAGAGTAAATGCTAGAAATATCAGAGCTGAGACCCTGATAAACCTAAAACGTTTCGGATCACTTAAACCTGAGATCCTGTGGACCTTTTCTGCCGAACGCTCTTCTAACATTAGAAGACGCTCCTCTACTATAGCCCTGAGCATCCTTGATTTTCAGTCACCCAACTGCTCTGATTCTTACTGGTTTTTTTTCCTTCCATTACTCTGCAACGACACCGGGAAACTATTTAAGTCCAGAGCAGCGATATTCAAAGCACAGTAACCTCAAAACTCAGTTCAATATTATTCTGCTCTTGTGTCAGGAAGCAGGCAAAACAACTTCACCTTCTACGCACCCTTCGCTAAATCCTACAGACCATGGGCGCCGCAATCCCCCCGGCGGGGTCTGTGCGCGGCC